GGCTGTTGACATGCAAGCAGTGATCAGATGTGACATGAGCGCAGCAGGTGCTGATCTGCAATGCGTCGACCCTTTCAACAGATGTGATCAGGATTTGTGCTGGGATTTGTGCACGTTGCCATACTGTGCAGGCAGCTTAAAGACCGAACTCCTTCACAGCAGCTGAAGTGCTTGGGTAGTGATGCCCCGACTGATGTTAGGGCAACGCATGTCAAGTTTTTCTGCAGTGTGCAAGCTCTGTGGCGCCTGACTGTATGTGGCCAAGAGCGGAAGATCATTTGACAAAATGTGATCCGTTCTCTCAAGAATTCATTCTGAGCCAATCGGAGCCCTTGCCGCTCCAAACCTTCTCATATGTTTAATGAGTTTAATGCTACGCATGCAGGCCCGTGCTTCATATGTCATTTGCCTTACGAGGTTGTGCATTGGCCCGCGGCGTTCGAAGCACGCCTTTCTCTGTTCTCACGGCACTGGTTGAGCTGTCCACGCTAGCTTTGCCTCAGATAGCAGGTGAATCTTGCGCAGTTCGGTCAAGTCCGTCAAGTCTGTGTAAAAGGAGCAGACTTGTGGGTTGGCAAGGTGGCTGTTGACATGCAAGCAGTGATCAGATGTGACATGAGCGCAGCAGGTGCTGATCTGCAATGCGTCGACCCTTTCAACAGATGTGATCAGGATTTGTGCTGGGATTTGTGCACGTTGCCACACTGTGCAGGCAGCTTAAAGACCGAACTCCTTCACAGCAGCTGAAGTGCTTGGGTAGTGATGCCCCGACTGATGTTAGGGCAACGCATGTCAAGTTTTTCTGCAGTGTGCAAGCTCTGTGGCGCCTGACTGTGTGTGGCCAAGAGCGGAAGATCATTTGACAAAATGTGATCCGTTCTCTCAAGAATTCATTCTGAGCCAATCGGAGCCCTTGCCGCTCCAAACCTTCTCATATGTTTAATGAGTTTAATGCTACGCATGCAGGCCCGTGCTTCATATGTCATTTGCCTTACGAGGTTGTGCATTGGCCTGCGGCGTTGGAAGCACGCCTTTTTGTGTTCGCACGGCTCTGGTTGAGCTGTCCACGCTAGCTTTGCCCCAGATAGCAGGTGAATCTTGCGCAGTTCGGTCAAGTCAGTCAAGTCTGGGTAAAAGGAGCAGACTTGTGGGTTGGAAAGGTGGTTGGTGACATGCTAACAGTGATCCAGAGTAAATCACGTGTTGTCAGTACGCCATGCGCGGTGGTTAGCCGCTCATGTCGCCGGACTTACGTTGGTTGAAACCCATTCATTGCAGATGTGGATGGCATATCCACTCATGCCGCTCTATCCCGAAATCTCAATGTCGAACATTTTTGCTGGCAAGGTGAAGGTTGGCGTGATGGCAATGATCCAGACATGTGACAACAGCGCAGGAAGCGCTGATGGGCAAAGCGCTGACCCTTTTGGTACACGTGACCAAGATTTATTTTGGGATTTGCTCGCGTTACCACACAGTCACAGTGCAGGTAGCTTAAGGTCGGCCCATGCTGGCCATGCTGGCCATGATAGTCATTTTCTTTTCGTGTGGCTTCCCATCAGACATCGACGTGCTAGGTAACCGCAATATTGTGTTCCCATGCAATAGGCAGGGCGCATCCAACCCGTGCTTTGTAAACTGCAATCTTTGAACTTGATGAGCAGAAGTGAAGACAATCAGGGCAAACTGTGGCCTGCTGAGTTCTTAAGAATCTGTAGCGTTGCTGCTCATTCCCAGGCAACAGGACGATTCATATGTGTTTGCTTCTGAATAAATCATGTGTTGTCAGTACGCCATGCGCGGTGGTTAGCCGCTCATGTCACCGGACTTACGTTGGTTGAAACCCATTCATTGCAGAAGTGGATGGCATATCCACTCATGCCGCTCTATCCTGAAATCTCAACGTAGAACATTTTTGCCGGCAAGGTGGAGGTTGGCGTGCTGACAATGATCCAGACATGTGACAACAGCGCAGGAAGTGCTGATGGGCAAAGCGCTGACCCTTTTGGATCTTTTGGCACGTGTGATTTAGACTAGTGATCACAGGTGCCATACGGGAAGTTTGTTCGAGAAGCTGCAACAGGCACATCCATTGTGGAGTGAATTGATGCAATCATTGTGGTGTGAATTGGTCCTTCGTCGGGGCCTAAGGTGGCAAGTTGGTGAATTGGCCGCTGGAGGGTGGATCAGCAGGCCATTGTCATGGTCCTCTGCATTTCAAGTCATTTCATTGCCCTACTTTATGTCGAGTGTCAGTGCTCGGAAACATGTGTAGCAATCGGCTGCCGGCAGACTTCGCAGTCACACGGTGCCGATTCTGCTTTGTACCCTGAGTTGTTGCGATTTGACGGAGTAGACACTGTTAGACATGCTGTTTGTGAAGGAAGTTGCTTTCAGCTTAGAGTAGGGGCTTCTTTGAACTTCATAGCGAAATGCAGTGGGACTTGCGCTGCCAAAGGGTGGAAGGTCTTCAATCTTCTCTTGCGCGGCTTCACCGGTCAAGCACGATGGGCCATCTTGAGCATCTGCAGAGTTGCTGTTCATTCCATGGCCAAAGGACGGTGTTTACGTCTGAATGAACCACGTGTTGTCAGTAGGACGTGCAAGGTGGTTTGCCGCCCATGTCACTGGACCTACGTTGGTTGAAACCCATTCACTCATGCCGCTCTATCCCGAAATCTCAATGTCGAACATTTTTGCCGGCAAGGTGGAGGTTGGCGTGCTGACAATGATCCAGACATGTGACAACAGCGCAGGAAGTGCTGATGGGCAAAGCGCTGACCCTTTTGGATCTTTTGGCACGTGTGATTTAGACTAGTGATCAGTGCAGGTGCCATACGGGAAGTTTGTTCGAGAAGCTGCAACAGGCACATCCATTGTGGAGTGAATTGATGCAATCATTGTGGTGTGAATTGGTCCTTCGTCGGGGCCTAAGGTGGCAAGTTGGTGAATTGGCCGCTGGAGGGTGGATCAGCAGGCCATTGTCATGGTCCTCTGCATTTCAAGTCATTTCATTGCCCTACTTTATGTCGAGTGTCAGTGCTCGGAAACATGTGTAGCAATCGGCTGCCGGCAGACTTCGCAGTCACACGGTGCCGATTCTGCTTTGTACCCTGAGTTGTTGCGATTTGACGGAGTAGACACTGTTAGACATGCTGTTTGTGAAGGAAGTTGCTTTCAGCTTAGAGTAGGGGCTTCTTTGAACTTCATAGCGAAATGCAGTGGGACTTGCGCTGCCAAAGGGTGGAAGGTCTTCAATCTTCTCTTGCGCGGCTTCACCGGTGTACGATGATAGGTGATCAGAAGCTGAGATATGACGGTAGTTTTGGGCAGGTATCACCACGACAGTCATTTGTACAAAGTTCAAGCGGCAGAAAAAGTTGTCAGAGCAGAGCTTGCTCGAAAGACACACACATACGTATATATATATTATATATATATGTATAAATATTAATGATTGTTCCAGCATCAGGAATATATCTACGTATTATGTATCTAAAATATATTCTGTAGAAACTGTAGTCTATGTACTCTATATATATATTATATATATATTTGTTTATTAGTATTTTTTTAAAATATATTTATTGTATACGTACTAAGTGTGCATATGCAACGTTGTATTAGTTGCATTGCCGGAGGATCCCGTCACCCAGGTTTGCAGTTTACAGTCTGTTTATTTGTCAAAACATGGAAAACTCGATAAGCACCATGGAAAAATTCATGAAACCACTGGAAAAATTGATGAACAGTGCAAATGAGAGATTTTAGGTGCAAAAAGCACGGAAGGGAGCCTGGACGACAAAAAAAAAAAAATGCCAAAAAAAATAAAAAAATGCCAACTTAATTTCGCGCCCGAAAAGAAGGAAGGAAGGAACAAAGGAAAAGGAAGGAAGGAGGGAGGGAGGGAGGAACGAAGGAAGGAAAAAGGGAAAAGGGAAAAAAAACTGAATAATTTTTTTTTGATGCTTTCGAGCAGCTTGATCTCCCCTAGCCTCGGGGGATCAAGAAAAAATATTTCCAGATCAAAAAAAAATTAAACCTAACCTACCACTAAATTTAGATGAAATAGGCAATATTTTTTTTTTAGATCCTAGTGTTTTAATTTTTTTTGATCTGGAAAAAAAAATTCTGATCCTCCACTCGGATGTGAATATGTCGGAGTGCATATTCAGTATAAATCTCGGTACGGATGGCAGTTTTCAATCAGTCAATGTCAGTATATATATATATCTATATATCTGTCATCAAACTAGATTTGTCGTCTATACTATATACAATTATTCCGGTGGTGGGGATCGGCCGACGTGTTTTTTTTTGTGATTGCATCTTTTTGGCTACATGTTCCTTTGGACTCCAAAAATGTGTTCCTTTTCCTGTATTGTGTAGGGCTGTCGATTTGATTTTGCTTTCAAAATGAGCTCAGTAGGCTCAGCAAAATAGATAGAACATGGTTGTTTAGCAAAAATCAAGGCAAGTACGGTGCTTCCTCCGCACTGTCCAGTTCTCACATCTGCATTTCTTCAACCTTGTGCCCCATGGCCCCATGGCTCAGGCAGTGTAGGTGGCGCCATACATCCCCCTGGGTGAAGCCGGTGTTACTTTGGTTTTCACTTTTGCAATCCGAATTTGTTATTTTTGGGTCATGACATGTCATGACATGTCATGACCCGTATGTACTGAAGGTGGGGTTCTGTCCAAACAGTGGCTCTCCATCCCCACCAAGCATCTTCGGAATCCACCTCTTTTTTTTTGGATCAGCAATCCAGGGCCGAAGTGCTGGACGTTCTGGGCTCCAGTTACACCCTGCCAATAGGTTGGTGGATGTTGGTGGGATCTCATCTCACTGCTGCACTAGACTGAGTATGTGTGTATCTATATACATATATATATATAATATACATATACCAAGGGTTTGCGGGACCCATGTGGCACAAGGCCTGTGAGAACATGTCACAACTCCCACAAGTCAGCATAGTCAGTTGCGTTTTTTCTTTGGGGGAAACCAACCTTTGTTCTTTGTCCCTTTAAGAGGGCGGTTTGCCATGGCTGAAGTCAACAGTCCGAACTTCTTAGGCCAGATCCGGCAGCAGCTGTGGATCATTTTTTCTTGGAGATTGGACTATCACCTGGTCGACCTGTGACACCCTCTAGTAGGCTATACTATAAGAGGAAACATCATAGCTATGGAAAATCACCGTGTCAACAAGTGAGTCATCCATAAGAGGACCACTTTCCACAGCAAACTCTTACTTTACCAAAGGGTACCTGTTCATACCTGGCTAGCCGGCTAGCCAGTCTACTTCCTGCAACATGTTGTGGATTTTGCCCAAGATCTTAGGTGTCGCCAACGACCCGCTGTGCTTTGGAAACCTACCAGCGCCCACCAGTGGCCCTAGTCAATGAGGTATGGTGGAACACCAAAAAAGATAGAAAAGTAAAATCAAACTAAAACAGTGGCACATCACATGTCTATCCTCTTTCGGGTTGCGACACATGTGCATGGTCGTTGATATCAGCCGTGCTCGGTGTTTTTCACGTACGGCTGAACTTTCTTTCATTCGTCCCAATATATAGGTGATACTTCGCAACACACATGTGCTATGCGTGTGGAATTACCCCAAAAATGCCTTATTTGAGGTTTGAGAATCATTGCAATTCGGATTTGTATGGAAAAAAACAACGATTCTTTCATGATCTTCCATAATTTATCATAGATCAGATTAGCCTGATTAATCCCAGTTTCTAATATTACGGACCCCTGTGGTACTGGATCTATTCATTGTGGGGGATCATATCAGGCCGTGTTTCAATATCAGGGGGGATGGGCATCATCATTTCTCTCGGGATTTTGGAGTGTACCATAGTGTACCATGGTACACCCTTCGGAAATCACACACTTTTCTAGCTGCGAAATCCCTGATAAATGGAGGGTTTCATGGGAAACTCATCTATTAGTGGAGGAGTTTGCCAAGATCCCACGGTGAGGGCGGCGCTTGTCCCTGGATTCCGTCGCGCTGATGTCATCCCCTTCGATACCTTCGATCCCCTCATCCCAGGGATCCCAGGGTAGGCGGGGCGCAGAACAGTGGATCCAGCAGTTTGATTCTACCAGACCAACTGCATACTGTATTGTTAGTTATATTATAATCACATTATATATATATATATTATATATATAATACATATTATTATGTATATATACATGTATATATGCATGTATATATATATGTATATGTGTATATATAAATTATAAATACATGTATGTAATTAAATTAAAATGTCAATGTATATATATATATATCTAAGACATATTATTATGTATATATATATACATGTATATATGCATGTATATGTGTATATATGTATATAAATTATAAATACATGTATGTAATTAAATTAAAATGTAAATGTGTATATATATAAGACATATTATTATGTATATATATATATACATGTATATATGCATGTATATATATGTATATGTGTATATATATAAATTATAAATACATGTATGTAATTAAATTAAAATGTCAATGTATATATATATAAGACATATTATTATGTATATATATATACATGTATATATGCATGTATATGTGTATATATGTATATAAATTATAAATACATGTATGTAATTAAATTAAAATGTAAATGTATATATATAAGACATATTATTATGTATATATATATACATGTATATATGCATGTATATGTGTATATATGTATATAAATTATAAATACATGTATGTAATTAAATTAAAATGTAAATGTATATATATATAAGACATATTATTATGTATATATATATATACATGTATATATGCATGTATATGTGTATATATGTATATAAATTATAAATACATGTATGTAATTAAATTAAAATGTAAGTGTATATATATATATATAAATATAGATAAATCTATTTAAATAAAGGTGTATATGTATATATACACACATATATATATATATACACGTGCGCATATATAAAAATATGTGTGTGAACATATATATATATAGAGATATGTATGCATTATATATATATATACATATATACATATGTATATACATATATTTATATGTATATATGTATATATGTATATGTGTATATGTATATGTATATGTATATATATATATAAATATATCTATTATGGGTATGTGGGGTTTCTGGAAGGAAACACATGTTAAGATGGGATGGGATTACCCTAAAAATTGTGTGTTTATTGGCCATCCGGACTGCCGTTGCCTGGAGCCGTGCACAGGGTGGCCAACAGACTGACAGCGATACATCCGCAGCAGAAGGAACGGCTACTGTAGCTGTTTTTGATGCTACGTTCCCCCTGGTTCAGTTTGTTTTCACCAGTCCTAAGTTACTCTCTGTGATCCCATCTCCCTAATGTTAAAAAGTCCCCTAGACCCACTGCTTTAGTGTTGGATCTGTTCATTTGGCCCATGCCGGGGGCATAATGTAGGGATTAGTTCCACTCCAGTTATCCCCAGATGCTGTAGCTACGCCCCGAAGCTGGAGGTATGATGCCTTGAGCCCCAGTGGCCCGGCGCGTGGGATTGAGCTACTCGGTGAAGACCCATGGCCAGTGGAACATAGTGGAACAACAGAACCAGCCCCTAATGAAATCAAGATGTTTGTGTTCCCTGGAAAGTGCATGGAGGATATGACGACGGGATGTTCATTGATGATGTGAATACCTGCAGTGGTTCTGCGGCTTTTGGATAATGTTGGTTTTCAGCTATCACCTGAATCACCTGGACTCAAGTCTCAAGTCTGGGGCTGTACCTTTTTGCCGAGGCAAACGCTGGGGATGATCCTGAAGCTCTTGGAGGAGCAGACTTATGACAGAGAGGTGCTCCACACCAGGCCGGCCTGATAGAAGGTGTGGGGCTGGTAGAAAACCGGAATACGAAATACATCTTTGATGGTTTGGGAGGGGGGTGTGGGGTGGGGGGGAGTGAGAGATGGACTGTTAGGAATTAAGCCACGGGGTGGGTGGGTGAAGAGGGGCACTAGCATCTAGGTTAGATCAGCTAGAGCGTCTTCCCAAGACAGCTTCACACCTTTTATACTCGGCCAATAGCCGGTCGGTGCGGTGTCCACGGGATTACTCTATATCTCTCTTGAGCCTTGACAGCATATGTAAATGTGCTCATTACTCATGCTATATCCACGTAGGATCCAAGCCCAAACAAGAACACAGGCACAAATTCAAAGGCAATGAGTAGAGCACTACGCTTGGTCGTACCCAATTGAGAATAAGAGTTAAAGCCTGTAACTATACTGCACGTTGGCTAATCAGCAAAAATGAGCGGAAGTCACGCAGTTGTTTCTTTACAAAAAAAACAACGAATGTAGGCGGATTGACTGCGACAAAATTGTCCTGAGGACATGTCGAAGTGAAAGCAGCGGATTCGCTAATTATTTTTCCGAGAATGGTGCGCGAAGCACGGTCGATCCAAGCAAAATGCCCTACCGGTGTGAAAAATTCGTCCTCCAAACGTTCGAATTGCAAGATTTAGAAATTGAGGTCAGATGGGAAACAATTGACCGAATCACAAAATAAACGGATACAGCGGATCTCCAAAGTCCCTCATTCAAGCGGACGATGGACAAAATTCGGAGCTGGTAATTTTGATTCGTTCCATTCGGAACGACTCTGCTCGGCGGAAAATGTGTGGAGACAAACGCGATATTATCTCTATCTACAGGAGTATATATCTACATTAAATTGACTTTCAGACACAGCAGAGGCATTATCTGTAACTAAAAGAATATATGCATCCCTACCCTCTTAAAAATGAAATTTGAGGGGGGGGAGTCGTACTGAAATTTCATTTTAAAATTCCATTTTTGCATTGATTGTTCTCAATGATCAGCACTCCTCGTCATTCCATATCATTGGCAAACAGATGAAAATTAAATACTTGCGCTTAGCTCCGGACATGTCAGACTGAAGCCGCACATGTGTAGGGGTGGCATCCCTCCAAAACTTGCGTTGCCATCATCATACTTGCGCTTAGCTCCTCCAGAGCTACGCGCAAGTATTTTCTAACCAGTGCCCAAGGCTTGTCAAGAAATGTTACTTTAAAATTCCATGTGAGCAATTGGATCACTATCCCAGGGGTTCCAAGCAAAAAAACGTGGAATTCGACAGGTTGGTTTTGTCCCCCCCCCCCGCCCTCCCCCTCTATAGGGGGCAAAAAAATGAAAACTCAGTTGTCAAAATGAAAACTCAGTTGTGGTATCATCTCTCGCTATCAAGAGTGTACACCTTTTCTTGTGAATAAGAAATGAGCCCACAGAAAAACTGTACTGAGCAAATCATGCTGTGTTATCTTCATCTCTAGAAGTATACACTCACCTGTTTTTCGGTCTCCATGTCCACGAGCATGAAGCTGAGGAACCACCATAGCCAGTATCATCCCAGTTGCTCCTAGACTCGTCCACTGAAGGGCCATCGCCACGACCCTTTCTCTTGTTGGACTTTTGCGTGGCCTTTCTCTTTTCCTTTCTTCTCTGTTTCATCTCATAAGGAACATAGGCACGCTTCTCCCTCCATATCATGTCTGAAGGATGCAAGTGAACAAGAAGAGGGTTGTGCGCATCTCTGCCTGCAGGTGCAACAATAAAGATGTTGTGGTCACTAGACAAGCAAGTTTCATTGACCCTGAATGTAAACTCACCAATAAAGTCCATGTGATCTTGATCATCAAAAAGACTGACATCTTCCTCAAATTCCAATCGTGCACTCAACAATAGACAGCATACAACAATCACCACGATCTTCTGTCTTCTTCGCGAGTTCTGCGGTGTATGTAGAAGTTGTAATACCATCCAGATGCGTTGCAAGAAAATCAAGATTTCGATAGCTACAGGAAATAAAGTGCTTGGACCCTGACAGGTGGACAATTTCCAAAGTGTTTTCGTCTTGATTGTGTTGCCACATTCATCATCTTGTTGATCCAGTACTGCAAAAGGCTGCATTCGTACTTGGGGACTCCTCCGGCTTTTGGAGTTGCAAGGTAGTATGCCCTGTTCCTGTCGCCTGCGATCGCGTCAACTTGATAACGGGCACACTCAAAGGCCATGCGCGCAATGCACTCTCCTGTGATGCCTGGAGAATCTGAGACATGCTTCTGTCCGATGTGGTAGACACACACACACACGGCACATGTTCATTCGACCTCTTGTAAGAGGCTCCTCAATCTCTGTGTTACGGTGTTTCGTTTTGCCCCAATACACTTCAAATATGGCCCATGATACGTATCTGACTCGTGTGTCATCATCACTAGTATTGTAACCAGCAATTTGTCGAACATAGCCACCTTTTCCGAGACGAGCAGCCATGAAGCAAGTAGTAAATCGCTCCTCTTCAAGCAAAGCTTTGTGAGGATAGAGGCTACCAGCCTCGCAATTCATAAGCAGATGAGCTCCAAGATTCTTGATAACGTTGATGAAATAGTTGTTGAACTGTGGCTTGTCACCAAACTTCTCATGCTCACTGTTCAGTTCGTAATCAATGTGTGGTGCAAACTTTTGTAATCGTTCAGGTAATGGACATTGGCTGAAACGTGTTCTGCACCAATTTTCAAGATTCCAAAACATCAGTGAGAATCGTGGTGGTGAGCGGTAAGGATGTGGTTCATCATAATATGTGGGGTCAAACATGCCTCTTCCCAGATATCTGGATGCCAAGCATTGTAACACAATGCAGTAAGGCAAGGCCTTGTGATTTTCCACACAACACTCCAATACCGTTGTCAATGTTTTGAAATCATCTTCAATTCTTCCTTCTGCTTCCGTAGCTGCCTTTTCTGAATGTTCCTGTTGTCGATGTAACCTAGGGTCACTGCAGCTATACTCACATGAGTTCTTGATATCTTCTGGTTCTTTTAGTGGAAGCTCATCTTTATGCCTGGCAATGTATTCTTCCATCAACTGATCATCTGTATTGGTATACCAGTGATCTTGATGAGGTGTCATAGTCTTCCTGTACTTTGCATGCCAGAACATATGTTGATGTTGAGAAGAAGCTGGGTAACCTTGATTGTAGAAGCCTGCCCATTCACCAGGATAACCATCAGAAAAACACTTGGAAAGTTTTCGAAAAACTGAATCACCCTCATTTCCAGTGATGTCGGCACCATAGTAAAGTCTTTTGGCAGTTTCAGGTTTTGGAGCTGTGTCATCCTTTTGAATATCTGTTTGTTGTTCCCCTGATACCTCTGTCTGACCAGAGCCTTCAGGTGGAACTGGCTCCTGTTTCTGCGAAGAGCTTCCAGCCTCTGTTTCTGACAGAAATGAATCATCTGTCTGACGCTCCATGCTCACCGTAGTTGGAGGTGGCACAGTAGGCTCCTGAGGTTCCTTTTGTTCTTCTTCAACTTCAACTTCAACTTCAACTTCTTCTTCTTCTTCTTCTGTCTCTTGTTTGACAACCTTTTCCATGATCTTCTGCTGAACTGTCTTGTTGTACATGCTGAGCCACTTAATAATGCATTCAATCAAAGCATCATCTTCTGTTTCCAAAACAATATGCTTGTTCTCACGACTCAGACTCTCAACAGTACCCGTGAACTCAGGATCCGCGACCTTGGTCTTCACGACGTTGAAGAGGAATGTTTGGATCATCACCCATGAGGTCTGGTTCCGCAACATTCAAAATTGTCCTGTGTGACATTCTTGTTGGCCTCCAAGACCCTTTTTTGTTCAAGACGAAATTCATGATACTGTTCATCTGTGATGTCTGTGCGAGTCGATGGTGCAAAAATCTCCATGAAATTCTTGTGAGACTCATATGCAAGATATTCCAGCATCACCAACATTGAGAAGTAGCCAATTTCTTCATAAAGTAGTGGTGATCGTCCTTCCATGTCATCTTGAGTGAGAACATTTTGTGAGTCGAATGCCATGTTTCTCACTAGCTCTTGATGTTCTGGTTTGAGCTGCCTAATAACATAGTGTCCATACCTATCCTCAGGTCTACCAACTCTCGATATATTCAACTCAGGTATCTCTGTCTCTCCAGAGTGTCCTGCTTGTTGGGATGTTTCCTCTCTCTCTTGAGAGCTTACATCTTCTTCCTTCTTTGAACTTTCCTGAGGCCCGACAATGACTTGCGGTGTTGGTAGGAGTTCTACTTCTTCCTGAACATCATCATCATCATCATCATCATCATCACCGTCATCGTCGTCATCATCATCATCATCATCAACATCATCAATGTTGACATCATCAGCTTGATCTTTTGGCACATGAACCATCGTTTGCAAGCCAAGCATAGCCATCAAGCTTTGTAGATGTATGGAATTCACCTGCACCTAGATCTTTTGCCTTCGTCCTTGCAGGCGCAGATTGATGGAATGCTTCGTGTTGGAAAAATTGGTTGTAGGCATGCTCAACGAAGAATCGGTATGACTGGGCTGTCATTTCCTTCCTGCTGTCCACAGGCTGTGTGAGTCTCTTGTGGGCAAAGTTTGTGTAAGGACAGAAATCCCTTGGAGCTTCTTGCTGGTACAGATCAATCGCCAAATCCATCAACTTAGTGGAGAACGAGAAATGGGTTTCTGGTGATGGTCTTCTTGGTCATGGGAACCTCGACATCTGGATCTGTCATGTCATATCCCCAAGTGTTCAATTCCAGTCCAATCTCATTTCCATCATCATCATCATCATCATCATCATCATCATCATCATCATCATATATCATCATCATCATCAACATCATCATCATCATCATCATCATACTTCTTCTTGCAGAAGTCTCCCCACATCCTGTCGTTCTCTCTGATCATTTTGTCGAGATGCTTTTGGTAGAATCGACACACAGCCTCTGCAAACCATTTAAGATCTTCTTGAATCAT